TTTTTTGCACTTTTGGGGTTTTTAGCTGTGCTTGCACTGCGTTTCCTTGTCGAATTATCGCCGTTCTTATCGGCAAGGGGCCAGGCGTGACCTGGCATGTATTCTACCCTTTGGCCTTGGCATTTAGACTGAAAAAGAATGTTCCTGTTTTTAAAGGTTGTGAAATTGATTAAGTGATCTGAAAGAGAAGCAAAGCTTATAACTGACTAATGAAAATGTCACACTTTGGGTCCAGTTCACATAACACCCAGGGAATATTTAACAGCAGTTCGGTTGGAAATAAATCCAAGGAAAATTCTCATTTATGCATTATGTAAGTTATGGCTTTTTAAATCTTTCTTTTCCCGTGATCATATTAGGGGGAAAAGATTAACATACTTGAAAACATTGTCTACACTTCGTTGCTTCTTTCATCTCTCCGCTGAATTCACCTTTTAGGCACTCACGACAGTATCTTGTACCGCACCATTTGCACATGTAAGTCTGGAAATTGAAAAACAATTAATGTGATAGCAATGTTTATATTATATTTTTTAACATTTTGAGTAATTTTTAAACCCAAAGCCATGCACTATTAGAAAAATCATCTTGTCACCTTTACTGCAAATGGAATAAGATAAAGAAGACCTATATAAAGTGTTCTTTACTATTTTGAAAAACGTTGGTGGAATTGGCCACGGGTGTCTCTTATTTTTTTAAAATAAAACATCAAACATGTGCACAGATTAACCATGGCGAATACCCAATCGATTTGTGTAATGTATGCAGCAGTGGCTATTTTTATATTCACACATATAACGGCCCTTCTCTAAGTTACATTCACTGAATAAAACGGTCAATTTACCTTACTCTAAATACTGTTTACAAATCACACCTAGAATGCAGGTGCGAGTAGATCAAGTCGGATCGATCTTCGTTTGTTTTGGTAACATTGTTAAATGTTATAGACTATAATTAGCGCAGTTGGACGAGGCATTTTTACATGAACCCCAGAAAGTATCCATTCAAATTTATCAGTGGTTGCAAAAGCTTGAGTGCAATACTAATACACCTGATAGAAGAATAAAGTTGCTCACAGAGCAAGTATATACTGAACCATAATGTAAATACACGAAGAAACAAGGCAGCAAAGCTGTCAAATGTACAGACAAAAAGCAGAAAATAATAATGCACAAAATAGGATACTGTCAATTCTGATGCAATAATACATTATGTTAAAATGCAAAGTCAACATCAAATTTTAGTTATGCACAACAGGTAAAACCGGTGAAAGTAAAAGCATAAGGCTTCACCATGAGAGTTAAAGTTCACACTTAGAAAATGCCAGAATGAGACAGAAGTAAATTTCACAAAAAAATTACATTAATCAATAAAAAAATGATAATCCAATAGAGCTGCAATATTACATAATGATTAACTGTATAATTACCACCGGTTTTTAATTGATTCTAATATCAACATGGACATTTAGAAAATTTGATTACCACAGGTCTTCAAGCCCGTGGGAGTTCCAAGTCCCACGTTAAACATGCCAATGTGTGAAAGATAAAAAATTCACAAAAATGTTCATCAGAAAAAGAAGCCAAACAGATTGCTTTTTTAGTCTTGCGTTACTTTCCTGTAAGTTTAAGAGGAGTAAGTGACTATGTTTTTTTTTAATGGTCACTATGGAGGCAGTGCCCAAAATAGGGTTTTGTTTAATTTTGATGCATTATTATATGATGCTTAACAGCATAATGACCATCAATTTTTAATAATAAAATAGAAGTATCGAGGACATTCAGAAAATCTGACTAGCAAAGGTCTTCATAGCCCATGGAAGTTCAAAGTCACACCTTGAAAATGTCGATATTTGGAAATTTTTATTCTAACAAAAAATATAATTTCCAAGTTAACCAATAAGCCAGATTTTCCAACTGAAGGTGTATGTAAGTCCCATGTTTCTTTCCTTCCATAAGTTTGAGAAAAAAAGTGACTTGGGTTATCTTTTAATGGTCAGTATAAAGGCAGTGCCCAAAATAGGGGTTTCTTCATTTTAGATGCAATATTACATAATGCTAAACAGCATAATGACTATCAATTTTTATTAATTAGATAAAAGTATCAAAGATGTTCAGAACATGTGACTAGTAAAAGTTTTCAAAGCCATGGAAGTTCAGAGTCAAACCTTGAAAATGCCCAAATGTAAACGAGATAACTGTATTGAAATGAGTTTATTTTCATTTTCAACACCTTTTTACATAAAACAAAAATAATCAATTTACTGTCATTTTCATATAATCAACTGAGAAAAATGTTGACATAGGAAAAACATCAACAGAACAATTTTATATGTCCTATTTGCTCCATTCTGAAATTCTGAATATAGTGAATGATTGAATCCGACGAACTGCAATGATGTGAGTTTATTTCCATTTGTAAGGCCTGTAGGAGGGTTAAATTGCCTTTAAATCACCTTTTTGAGTTTTTGTGTGTTTATATTAATATAAATTATCTAACATTCGATGTTATAATGTTTTTGGGGTTTGCACTGCAAAATGTGTTTTTGATGAGTTTTTAAACCGGCACGCGCCCCAGTCAGACTGCCGACTAAGCCACGCCTCTATTGCTATGGGCTGTTGCCATGAGGGAGCAGAGCAATGTTAATGAGTTCTAAGCCGATTACGTGTGTGGTAACAGGTCGTAACTTACGTCATCTGAGCAGTTATGAAGTCGAATACGCTATAGGGAAAAGAAAAGTTCGTTTGTAAGAAAAATCAATAACGAAAAGAAGAAAAAAAAGACACCGGTAACAATACTTTTAGGTCTTCATTTTGGCGATATATATCGGCGAGCGTATCTGCTGCACGTTACGAAACCGGAAATGTTCGACGCCGTTTCAAAAACGTGTTTCGCCAGCTGTAAAACGCAACATAGAATCTATTGAATAAAACTCGTGTTGACAAAAATAAGTTTTCTTCTCCGAGATGTGAATATATGTGCGGATTAACCAAGTTAATCTGATTTAAACGTGGCACAAGCGCCGCCATGTCCCCCCCCCTGTAGCCTTACGCTGCACAAGGCCTTAAGCGAGCCACTTCCACCGCTTAATTCAAAGCTAGTTTGAGTTGTGCAGCAGCACACGCATAGCCTCCTTCGCGTATTGTATCACTGATCCCCACCTACCCACCCTGTTGCTTGTTTACTTAGACTGCATTCCCAGAGATTTAGATCGATCCATCCGGATCGACCTAACTCCCTGGGGGTTCACGCTAAATTGCTGTCAGCCGAGCGCGCACGGCAGTTAATTACCCCTTACAGCTTTTAGTAGGCGGGACAGACATTTAAGCCGGTTAAGCTAACACCAATCTAGTGGGACTCCCCAGGGGGATAGATCGATCTAAATATCTATGGGAATGGGGTCTTAATTAGTCTTCTGCATCTGTGTACACAGTAATGCTCTTCTTTATATATATATTATATGTATGTTTTTGTATCAGCTTCACTACCTCTATTGGAGGGCTTTATATATATTTTTTTCACGGTGGGCCTAATTATTTAAGCTTATTAAAAAATTGTTATTGGTTGTAGTTTTAGATGTAAGTCGTAGTGTAGTTAGTAACCAATAAACTTTTCTAAGCCGATGTGGCAGGAGTGCACGTCCTAGTAACGCAAGTCCGCCCGGACACTAAGTCCTTGGAATGCAAGTCCTAGGGCATGCATTGCTAGGAATGGAAGTCCTAGGACATACGTTACTAGGATTCAATGTCCGTAGGACGAAGGCTCCTAAGTAATGCAAGTCTAACGTGTAGTAATGCACGTCCTAATGGGACGTGCGTTCCTAACATCAGTAACAAAATACATGCTAACAGGTTTACCAACATATTTATAGATTTTTCACTTATCGAGTTATCGGTGAAAGTGCACGGCGACGGCGACAACGACGACGATGGTGACGACAGACAAAGGTTATGGCTATATGTACAGACACATCTGTGTTTGTACATAAAAGTGATTTTTTTAACTTATGACCAACAATATCAGTAATTCTAATACATAAATGTCTGACACGCCCCCCCCCCCCCCCCCCCCCAGCACAAAAATCCTATAAATGTAGATTGCTGCAGTGCCAAAGCTATATAAATTCCGGTTTTATAATCCATAACCTTTTCAAAAATCCTTTTTTACGTATATAAATATAACACATAGTGTTTATGATGCATTACAATAAAAAATACACATTAAGTTGGTAGCAGCGCCAAGGGCGTGTTGAGTGAATTCTGGTTTTAAATTTCTTAATCTTAATTTCTTTCAGGAACTGTTCATACAGTATTATTTCCGTTTAATTTTTGCCAGTTAGAAAGTACTGCATATACACACAGGCCCTTCACTAAATGAAAAGTTTGCCGCAATATTGCAACAATATTGCAGCAATTTTGCTTCAAACTAAAAGTTTGCAGCAGTGAGTTTGCAGGAGTGTGCAAGATTGCTGCTTCATGCTGCTTTTTTGCTGCTAATTATCAGCCATATTGCAGCAAACTTGCTGCAAAATTGCAGCAGACCTGATATTTTGCTAAGGGGGGTGCTTAATATAATAATAATAATAATTTTAGTCTCATTTAATATCCATGTGAGCGGGTCAATATGTTATCAGTGGAAATCTCCACTACTTAAACTAAATCCCTGGGCCGAATCTGAATGGGGAAACGAAACTACACGCTAGTTGTGGTTCTGTTGTTGGTCGAATCTAAAAGAAACGAAACAGAATTGGGTCAGAACACAGGCCCGTAGCTAGGGGGGTTAGGGGGGTTCGAAAGAACCGCCCCTTTCGCTGGGAAAAGGTTCACTCTGAGTAAAATTTGATCTAGATACCTGAAGTTATTTGGGGAAAAGATCCACTTTTTCAGAAAAAGAACCCCCCTTTTGAAATTGCTGGCTATGGACCTGTAACATCTGTTATTATATGATCAGATGACATGATTTATTTACACACTGTTCTTTTAAGAAAAAGCTATTTCAGGTATTTCAATCCCGAAATTGAACGTTTTGTTTAGTTCATTTGTATGGCATCAGGAGTTAATACTTTGTAGCGAAGTTGAAAACTGAAACGATGGTATAGTGCACAACAACCCGTTTTCTTCACTCATCAAAATAGCGACGAAAAGCAACTTTGTTTCTTGTCCATAGTGTGTGTGTACCGTAAATGATCCCTCAGATGACCAAAAACATGACAATAGTGACTATAGTATTATACTATTGTGAGAGCTTTCTTTCGTACAGCTGCATATGTCTGTATTCCAGATGTAAGCGCTGTTTTAGTGTCATTTTCGGCTAAAAATTAAATACACAGCAATGTTTGGAACAGAAAATTGTTTGTTATTATAAGACAAATCCGTCCCTTTTCACATGAAAGCATCCCCATTGTAATCCAACACATAGGAATATTTTGACAGACTTTCAAATATGGTAACCCTTTATTGTTATCCAGTATAGTGGACGTGCAGATATACATGTATAGAACAAAACCAAATACATAATTTTACACATAAGCAGTAATTTAAGAATGCACAAATATAATTGAGTTGTTGCAGTTTTCCAGTTTTATGCATTCCGGGTTTGGCAAATCTCTATTTTATCAACAGCGCAAATAAAAAAAATTATATTTTTCTTCATCTGATTTGCAAATGGTATGCTACTGGATATAACAACCTCCTGTCAACCAAGAACAGACTGAAAGGCAACCTTAAGGATACCGATATATTTCATCTTTAGTAGCACTGGTTGTCGGTGCACAAAAAAAATGGCCTTCATGGGTCAACGATCACAGGCGACCTGTTAACACTTAAAAACCTATGTACATAGCGGTAGTTTCAATGTAGGACTTAGAGGGACAATGAAATGCAGCTCGAATGTAGTTGGAACTAGGAATATCAATAATGCTGTTAGAACGCAGTCAGAATATTTACATGTAGAATACACTTCGAATGCCGTACGAGTGTAGTTCGATTGCTGGCTGAAATATAGGATCGAGATGCATTCGAGTTGCATTCTGGCTCATTCTAACAGGATTTGAAGTGTCCTGACATTCGGTTCTACCTCGAATGTGATCAGAATGTTTAGAATGCAGTCATAATGCAGTTAGAATACCATTCGATAATTTTCCACTTGGAATGCACTTAGAAAGTTTTTAACATGAGCAAAACATTTGGGCCGGCCACAAGAATGGTTAGAAATATTGGGAATGCACTCGGAATTTTTAGAATGCTCTTCGAATATCCAGGAACGCACATAGAATTGTCTTTCCGACGGTATTCTTGCTCATTCCGCCTCTAGTGTGACGGGGGTATTTAATGTACAGGGTTACTACTTAATATGGAATATTATTTTTTGGCGAGTAAATTTTCTACAAAATATTTATTTTCTCTCTAACTACTGTTTACATCCAAATCTGAGGTGTCACTCCCTGAGTAGCCAGGTGTGTTACCTAATTACCACACAACTCTCGAAACAATTGATGCATGCAGTTGCATGTTCTGTGGTCAGAAATGTGGGGGGGGTCTTTTTGGCAATTTCTGCCCTTGTATAAAAACTCATGGCTTTATCAATCTTTGGAGTGTATTTAGAGAAGCAACAAAGGGATTGATCTGAAACTTGACAGGTTCCTAAGAGAAGATATGGTTCGACAGCTAAGCAACGCAGCTTGCTATGGGATTCTTGCTCTCAGAGGCCAGAAACGGTCAACCATTGCCAGGCAATACAACATTTATCAGGAACCGTTAGTAAAGTCCTCCAAAGAAATGCTACAACAGGGGCACCTACTCCAATACCTCGACCAGGGTGTCCGTGTATGACACCAAGAAGACAGGATCGCCTTCTCCTTAGAGTGCGCCGTGCTGGTAGTACAAAGACAACCAGTGTCCTCAGAAAAGAGTGGCAGAATGTAATTCAAACGCCCGTTGCAAGGTCCCTCGTGAACATGAGATTATTGCAAGCCAGTTATTTTGCACGAAGACCAGTACTGAAACCACTGTTAACAGCAGGTCATATACAGCGTAGTCTGCAATGGGCTGGGGACTACGTGTGTTTGCAGCCAAACCACTGGAATCACGTTGTTTTCGGTGATGAGTCCAGATAGGTAGTTTTAAGGGTTGACGTGTCCGCCGAAGTGTACGAGAGGCATAAAAGGATGATTGTGCACTGCCTAAGGTGGAAGCAGGGGGTGGTAACGTCTCTGTTTGGGGAGCATATCATGTCGGTGCCCAGAACCAGTTGTTTTTTCTAGGCGGCAACCTCAACTAGGGTTCCTACAGAGACATTCTACATCAAACAATGCTTCGATTGGTAAGAGTCATCTTCAGGAACAACTTTGTGTATCATGACGACTGTGCAACCCCACATCGAGCTCACAGAATCACTGTTTTTCTTCGAAACCAATGGGTTCAGCAACTGCCCTGGCCTGCAAACTCCCCAGATATGAACCCAATTGAAAATCTGTGGACGGAAGTAACTCACATTCAGGGGCGGATTTAGGCCGTCTTCTGGGTCTTCCAGAAGACGGTCAGATTTTCAAGTTTACATTGACGGGTATCCAATTTTTAATGTTGGAAGACGGTCAAAATTGGAGGATGAATCAACAAAGATAATTTGGAAGACTGTCAGTATATAGCTCTGGATCCGCCCCTGACATTAATAGCTATGGTCATCGGTCGGGAAATAATGATGAACTGCGACAGGCAAATATCACTGCGTGGAATGATATCCCCATCCAAACTCTAAAAAACTTGTCACAGGGTATGCCATGTAGGATGAGGGCGCTGCAAGCGGCTGCTGGAGGTCATACCCGCTATTGATGACTTTTCATGATTTACTGTAATTAGTTCTTTAACTGTGTAACATATCATTGTCTGGAGGCTATCATTTTCTTCAATATCTTAGCTTAAATTAATACTGACATCAAACTGTTGATATGGTTTTCTGGGGGTGTTCTTTTCTTTTGAATGACGTCTTATGTCACATTTGATATTATAGTCCAAAATATCTCACAATAGAAGACTGGATATTTTTCAATGACATACTTTTTTGATGAATAAAGCCAAAAAAACAAAAAAAAAAAAAAAAAGCCAAAATAACAATGATAAAAATATTCCATATTAAGTAGTAACCCTGTATATACATATATTCGGCGTAACTCCTTACGATTTCAAAAAAGTCGTAGGACAATTTCATCGCACGGCGGCCGTGTAAATGTAATCTAGGCTTTAGTCCTATGCTACTTTTCTGTGAGTTAAAGCAGAATAAGTGACATGGTTTTCGTCTAATGGTGACTATGGAGGCAGTGCCCAAAAGGGGGGGGGTCTTCATTTTGATGCAATGTTACATAATGCTTAACAGCATAATGACCATCAATTTTTAATAATAAAATATTAGTATCATGGATATTCAGAAAATGTGACTAGCAAAGGTCTTTAAGACCATGGAGGTTCAAAGCCAAACCTTGAAAATGTCGATATGTGAAAAATTAAATTTTCACAAAAAATGTATAACTTCCATAAGAATTAGCCAATAAGACATATTTTCCATTTGAAGCTGTATTTAAGTCCTATGTTTCTTCTCTGAAAGTGGGAAAAGAGTAAGTGACAAGGTTTTGCTTTAATGGTCACTATGGAGGCAGTGCCAAAAACAGGGTTTTTTTAATTTGATGCAATATTACTTAATGCTTAACAGCATAATGAGCATCAATCTTTAATGAGAAAATAAAAGTATCATGGATATGCAGAAAATGTGACTAGCAAAAGTCTTCAAGGCCATGGAAGTTTAGAGTCAAACCTTGAAAATGCCAAATTGTATACAAGATATAACTGTACTGAAATGAGTTAATTTCCATTTTAACACCTTTTTTACACAAAACACAATAATCAATTTACTGTCATTTTTTAATGATCAACTAAGAAAATTATTGACATACGAAAATTATCAATAGCGCGATTTTAAATGTCCATATTTACTCCATTCTGATATTCTGAACATAGTAAATGATTGAATCTGACAAACCTCAATGATATGAGTTTATTTTCATTTTTGACGCTTTATTACACAATACATGATAACAGGTGTACCATCATTTTATGTAATCAACCAACAGTATTGTTAAGATGCAGAAAATGTTAGAACACTTTTACGTGGCTGTTTAGATCAATGATGAGTCTGTTAACATGTCTAAGAATTAAATCTGAAGAAAAACGACTTTTATACAAAAGGCATAATTTCATCAAAACTTAACCGATTAAGCTTATTTTCGAAGTTGATCTTTATATTAGTAAGGTTGATCACTCCTGTGAGTTGCAACAAATGTGTTATCAGTGTTGCATAAATGCTGAAAAAAAGCGAACAAAACAGCACGTAAAAGTATGTATGTATGTAAAAATGGTCCAATCGATCTAATATTCGTACTCGACCTGTATTTAAGTAAGATTGATGGCTCCTGTAGGTTTCTTAAAAGACAAAAAGATTCATGATTTTCCTTGAAACGTGTTATAATGTGTGGCATACATCCTGACAAAAAGCGAAAGAACAGCATAACTTTTGAAAAAGTAGCCTGATCATGCTGATTTACGAATTGACCTTTGTATTACATGTATGAATATTCATCAGTTCTGTAAGATTCAAGCCAACTGATCGTGTTATCGGTTTTTCATATATTCTGAAAAAAGCCAAAACAAAACAGAATAACTTTTGAAAAAGTAGCCTGATCATGCTGATTTACACATTGACCTTTGTATTATGAATATTCATCAGTTTTGTAAGTTTCAGACCAAAAGATTAAATGGTTTTCCACTTATCGTGTTATCGGTGAAAGTGCATGATGGCGACGACAGACGCAGCTGACGGCTATATGTACAGACACATCGTGCGCATAAAAAGGGAAATGGTTTGAACGTCACTAAGACAGCCTGAATACACCTGTTGCTGTCAAGAATTCACCTGTTTCTCTGATACGAAAAGGTTCTCACGATTCACTGTCGTTCATTTCAAAGCAATACTGACATTTTCACACTTGGCCAAACGTAGATGGCGAACATGTACTTCAAGTCTAGCCTCTTTATCTTGGTGTTCTTTGCTAATTTTATTCTATAAATCAAACTTTTGAAATATTAAATTAAATTGTAAAGACCTTCTCATTTCTGTCATATTTATGTGTGTGTGTGTGTGTGTGTGTGTGTGTGTGTGTGTGCATGTGTGTGTGTGTATGTGTGTGTGAAAGACGTGTCGCATGCCATGAACATTCAGCACTCACCGTGTTGGTATAAGGACATCCCCACCGACACATTATTGCAGTGACATCCTTTACGACCCAATCCAGGAAATTCAAATACAGTCAGGTGTAATCTACAGCACTCGCGTACTCTCACTATATTCTTGCAGCCTTTTTGGATGCCGAAGTCACATGTAAATACACTTATCTCAACATTTACTAAAGATCTAGGGCCGTGGCATAAAGCCCATTTGCAATCTATTTGGGGAGATAACCCAGTGGAGATTTAAGGCCTCGTAAGTTGCGGTATGTACCAGAACGACAACGCTTGATGACGTCAGCAACGCAAGTATACAAATACATATCCAATGCTGTCAACCCTCGTTTCTTTCACGCGAGTGTATGAAAGCATGCATCTCTGTATTAAAATTATAATATATCATAAATAAAAAAAATCGACTCCAGCAAATGTCGGGTGTAAATGAACTACTTCCTTAAGTACAACTCTTGCCTAGCTTCGGTGATTTATTCGTTACTGGTACCTAGCACCTAGCATTGGTGTGTGTCAACATTGAAAAAAATGCTATCGATGTGCAAGTGATGTTAACCAATGGAGCTGCAATATATTTAATAAATGTTCAGTGATGCGTGGAATCAAGTAACCTTGTCCCAAAAAAGAAAACGCAACGAAGATAAACTCGGGGAACATTTTGTCCTATGTATTCGTCACAGCGTATTTTCACCTGAAAATGTGTAAATTTGATCCCGAGCGTATTCGAGGCAGATGGTATAGAATTGGATCAATACACGATAAATATACACCGGCCATTAAGTAAATTAACCCCTTTTATACCTTATTCGATAGAATTAATGCGATGTTTATATTGCTCGCATATAGCCTTAAAGGCATATTCTTTCCCATTCCCCTTGTTCCGCTATTTAATGTACGGCAAATTACTTAAGATGTTTAACACCCAAACGCAATATACTTAGTAGAGATTGAAATGAGGTCACAGGAATGCTCTTCGAAATATCTAGTGCACAGATTACGAGCTATGTTTGATTATTTTATGGTCCCACATGAACAAATGTGTATCAAAGTTTCGCTCTCCTGATTGAATGATAAAAGATAAAAAGGAACATACGTTACTGTCACAAATGCAAGTCTTCCAGCTGTGGTAACGCTTATACTCATTATAAAAATTCAATTATCGCTGGTTTTGTTCTTTATGTCCTACAATTATAACGTTGTGAAAAATAATATAATAATCTCAAAATTGAAAATCTCAAATTGAGAAGGTATAAAACTTTTAAACTTCATTTTGAGAAAGAAAAATACCTTGATATAATACAAGATAAAGAAAAACGTCAAACCCTAACCAAATTCAGAATCAGCAGCCACAATTTGCACATAGAAACAGGTCGCCACGTCAAGGGTAAACCAACACCAGTCGAAGACAGAAAATGCCAAATCTGCCACTCTGGAGTTATAGAGGATGAAGAGCACTTCTTAATTACCTGCCCTCTGTATACAGAACACAGAAAAGAACTCTTTAAAATAATACAAAGCAGACACACATGATTTGCACATTTAAACAACAAAGATAAATTCCACTTTATAATGGACAATCCAAACGAAACAGTGATAATTTCCTTGGCCAAATTCCTTAACCTTGCTTTTAACAAAAGAAACTGTGCTACATCTTCCACTTCATGATGTCTATCAATAATTACTATAAATACGAAGATTTAGTTCACATAGTAGAAAACATTGGTACATTTCTATATATGTAATTTTGGTGCTATTTATCTGTGTATTTTACTATTACTATTATCATTATTATTGCTGCTATTACCTTATCTATGTAGCCTACATTTTCACCAGCTCAGTCTGGTGCAGAAAGTATGAATAAAGTATATTTAGGCCTATATATATATATATATATATATATATATATATATATATATATATATATATAATCTTATGTACGGAGCAGTTAATTTTTTTGAGCGACTTAAGTTTGCGTGTCACTGAATATTATAAAAGGGGGGAGGGGGGCAGCGGGGAAATCATGTTGTTTCAACGTTGACAAGGCGTTGGATTAACATTGGATTTGTCAATTGGATCAACGTCAAATAACAACTTTGTATCAAAGTCAGATAACAACAATGTATCAACCCCAGTTGTTGGACAATATTCTTGCATGATTTATTTAAAAACAGAGGTGCACAATTATAATGTACATTGTAAAAACACCTTTTAGCTCCTAAACGCATTTCTAAGCGACTGTTTTGTCTTTTTTTCAACGCGTTTGGCTCCTAAACACGTTTTGCTCTAAAGAATATTACACGCTTTTAGCCTGAATGTGTTTGACGGCTCAATTTATGTAGGGTGTATATGTATGGCCTTTAAGTGAGAGTTTCAACGGTTTATATATATAGATAGATAGATAAATATATATAGGTGACCGTGACTTAATATATATATATATATATATATATATATATATATATATATATATATATATATATATATATATATATATAACAAGCGTGAATGTGGAACAGAGTGCTCAACAGTACGTACACAGTACATACACAGCGTGACGACACTTACGTCGCACGCCGTGTTAGTTACGTCACTTTATGCCGACACATGGTAATTATCTCGGTTCTTTTATTCAGAGTATCTGGTGTTATCATTATCAACAGTTTTTCGTCTAAGCAAAGATTGCATAGGTGCTGATTTCTCCTTTGCGGCGTTGATTTCTTTATGATGTCCCATCTAATGTCATACTGGGTTTTATTTTCTGTTAATTTCCAAATGTATTTGGATAACTCAGTATCTGCAGCATATTTCTGGTCTCTAAATGACTTGGTGTGATTATTGTATCTCAACTTAAATTGGCCACCACAAAGCCCTATATATTTCATGTATTTGTCCTTAGTAGTGACTGATGCTTGGTACACAATGTTGCTAGACAAGCATTCCCCTCTCAAAGGACACTTACAGGAGCTCTACAATTACATTTCTTATCTTGAGTCTTAACTAACATGTTTTTGAGAATTTTTTTATTGTGACTGTGAATGATTTGCTGTATGTTTTTCATACAACAGTAACTTACTTTTACAGTCGATCTGTTGAATAATCGGTAAAGCTTGCTTCCGCGAGGGAAATGCTTGTCTAGCAACTGTAGGAATAAATGCCCGATTTTCGTTCTTACATTTTTCGAGTATGGTGGGTTGAACCAAATAAGTTTCCTGTTTCGTTTTTTCTTTTCTCTGGAACGAGAGCTGCTTGCTTTAGAGTTATTACCCAACGACATTACGGTATAGCCCGCGGTTTGAAGCGCCGTCGTATATACGTTATCTGATCCTTCTGCTACCACTCCGTCAGACGAAAGGGATTGCAATCTTTCGCCGATGGCTTTAGGAATGTTCCTTATTATTGCGGGGGGGGGGGGGGGGGGGGGTGATTTGAGCGTTTGTGAACATAGATCGGCTGGGCGTTCGGTTTTACGAACGGCCTGTGTTTCCCGGATTCTAAGTCTAGGTTAACACCAAGGAAGTTAACTGCTCTATCGTTGGTGGATACAGTGATGTTAAGGTCATAACTTTTGAAGAGCTTGACTAGATCCTTTCTAATGCTGTCAGCTTCGCTTCAACCACAAGATTTCATCACGGCTAAGCCGTCGTCCCTGTATAGTCCTACCGATGTGACGCACGCTGCTCTTCCGGGCTTCTTCGTCGGTACACATATTTCTTCCTGTATCCTATCAAGCAGGAATAATCCGACTAATTCGCAAATTTCAGCGCCATCATAGGCTCCCATAGACACGTCAAACTGTGAATCCCTATCTTTCCTCTCCCAAATTTTACCACTGAGATCCTTTAATAATGTACGCCTGGAATGCGGTATAATCTGGGTATCGGTCAACGTTACTCGTGTGAATTTTTTTGCCCACTCCAAGCTGTTTATAAGTAGATCTTCCAATATAGAGGGATAAAAATCCACGACGTCGAACGAAATGAACTTAAGTGTTTTTTTGTTATGAAGGTTGTTAAACCATTCTAATACTTCATTTGTGCTTCTCCATTGTATGAAACCTGTCTTTGATCTAACGTCCCTATTTATCCTGTCAAGGATAACCTTGCTTACTTTCCCCATTTCTGGTTTTGTCGGATTTATAAGTCTGCATTTAATATCATTGGGGAAATTTTCTTTATGATCCTACAGTGTTATGAAAGCGTTTTTAACCTGCGTTCTATCTATTCTATCGCTAATATGTAAACGATTAGACAATTCCATGGACTCTCTGCTAATTTCATCTGTAATATGTTTTTTGGTAATTCTATATTTTTGCGTGATGTTTTCATTAAGCAGTTTCTCATAATCTTTGGGTTTCATTCTTTATATATTTCTTGACTTGTCTGCTTGTACCAAAACTTCATCAGAGGAGGTAATTTTATTGACATCTGCTTTGAGTTTTTTCATGAAATTATCGTTCACTTCTTTGAATTGAACATTCTCAATCATATTCATTAAGTCATTTTCGAAACCTATCATATCAGCTATTTGCGGTGGTGATCTCTTACTTTTAAGTCCGTAATGTTGTCTTGATGGTTCATCATTTTCGCCCATGCGCTGCTGTCTGTCATCGTCGTCACTGCTCTCTTCATCCTTACGAAGAAAATAAAAGGCCTTCCAGCGCATTCGTCGTATTAGGTGTTCCGTCATTTCCATGAGTCTTTTAAGATATTCCTTTTTAGATGGTAAAGGTATGTTTTTTGTCGAATATCCTAGGTTGAAATACCTCATTTTCATTGTAGAATCAACATGTCTTCAGATAAAAGTCCACTTTTAGAGCGCTCAACAATTTCAGGAGCGTAATATAACAAGCGTGAATGTGGAACAGAGTGCTCAACAGTACGGAGCATTTGTACACAATTAAAATAAATAAATAAATAAATAAATAAATAAATAAATAAACAAAAGACATGCAATAATCCCGACTCCGAGTTTCACGGGCATACCCAGAAGGTATGCCCGATCGTCAGGAGGTTTATTTGAAAATGGTTA